AACAATAGGGGACAGACCTCAGAAATCTGGCATCCAATGCAGCAGTACTATAATCAAACCTATATCCAAAACACACATGGAAACAAGTAAGAAAGGGCCAAGCGAACATTTTATACTCTTGCAGCTTGCACGAATCAAAGGCCGTAAAACTCCTTCGGGTGCTGGCCAAACTTTATATTAAAAAATGTTAGTAAAGAATTTAGCTTTATTATCCGAAGAAATCGTGAATAAATTACAATCAAATTTGGTATGTTCTTTGGTATGTTATATTGAAGACCATTAATTTAGACTTAATTTTACTGCTATATTTTACTTCGCGTCAGCCAAATATCTATAAAAACATCTTCAATTGAGATACATGTGATACCAGAAGGAACTATATTCTATAATTTTTAATATATCAAGAAAACTTGAACATTTAATTTCAGTAAAATGTCACACATTTTGACCGAGCTGAACGGCTTAAAGTCAGGTGGAAAGACGGAAATCACTATAGGGAGTAGATTGGGGGAAAGAAAGGGGCGGGCTAATTGCATTCATCTGGACATTGCTAAGGTATACTTGAAAACATATTTTCAAGGTAAGTTTTAAATACACAACTTCCACACTTAACGACATATTCGCTATAAAATTTGTTAAAAATACGAAAATTATTACAGGTAGTACATGGGATTTGGGGGTAGTATTGACTCGATTTCTTCTACGGCCAATACCACATATTACTAACATGTCAGGTACTAATAAAATAGTCCCTGGGTTTCATTAAGGTCCTCACATATGTACCATCACCAATCATATGGAGTCAAGTTGACCGGTTGTTCGAAAATCTGATATTAGTTATACAGGGGCTAGGTCAAGTTTTTACTCAATTTTATCCATTTGAGGCACTAAGTCACACTTACTAGAAAAACATGCTCTCTCAAGTTTATTGAGATAACTCAGGTATTTGCCGATATACGTATGGGGCATAAAGTAACCCGGAAGTTCGAAAATCTTTTTATTAGGCTATGGGAAGTATTCAACCATTGACATTCAGACATTCTATTATCAGAAACGGATCTTCTCCGAATTTCAATTATATAAGGTGCGCGACAAAATGATAAGTTAGTACAAAATAAGCAAACGGGAATTCCTTGAAAATTGTAACTACTTGTATATTAAAAAAAAGTATATCTAAATGACAAGGAAAAAAACTGCTTTGGGACGTAGAAAGATACCGTTAGATTTAATAAAAGTGCGTTTATTTAAATAAGAGCACAATACATTGCTTTGTATTGAAAACTTGAGTATTAAAAAGAGGGTATGGAACGTGGTCGCTCTCTAGCTATGAACAAGAACAAATTTCTATACAACTCAGAAAATAAGCATGATAGAAATTGCCAAAAGTTTGTGTAGATCTTTGTGCGTCTTACAAAACTTTGTCAAAAACAGAGAAAATGACCGGAAATTCAAAAGTACAGGTCGGCAAAAGATTCTAACTACGCGTGAAACCCGTGCTATTTCACGAATAGCATCGAACTCTATGAAAAGTGCGGCAACAATTAAGAAAGATCTTTTGTCTAAAAGCATCCATTAGGACAATTTAGAGATCTATCAATGCTCAACCACACATTGTACGATCTAAATTAAAAAAAGTGCCATATTTAACTAAAGCACACAAGGTAAAGCGCAAGGAATTCGCTAAAAGGAATATGAGGACCAACTGGCATCAGGTAAACAATTTATAAATACAAGTACGTTTAATTTAATGCACATATTATTTTTCAGATAATTTTGATGGATCAGACGGTTTCAACTATAATTGGCCAGATTTACGTGAGGAACCAATGTGCTTTTCGAAGCGGAATTTTGGCGAAGGTTCGTTGATGGTGAGGGGCGCTTTCAGTTCCAGTGGTATCTTAGAACTCCACTTTTCATCAAATCGGATGAACAATCTGGAGTATCAGATTGATTTACCATATTTGCAGAGTTTGATATACCATATTTGAATCTGAGGTGAGGAACTGTTGCCCGAAAACCTACACTATTCCTGTTAGGCATTAAACTTTTGCCAAAAATAGGGGGATGGAAAAAAAAATTATTACAATTCTCTGAAAACGAAAAATATGTCGGAGTGCTGTAGCCGAAAGAGTTGACGAGGTTCGTATAACTAACTGCTAAAGTTTAGAGGTCAGAAGTTTTATAGGCAAATATCTTCCCCAACAATTGCAAAATTTGCAGCACTCGAGATTTGAAAAAATTTCAAGAGACTAGATCTTTCCAAACGTTTAGTCGCGCTTAATGTTTTATAATAATTCAGGTATTCCCAGTTTGAATGAACTACCTGGTTCCAGCACAATTTTTCAAGAACAGATTTTTTTCTTTTTGGTCGACTACTGTTTAATATTCGATGTTTGACCCCACTCAAAATTCCTATAAACTATTAAAATATGAAATTAACCAGTAGTTATTAAAACAGTTAAGGATTTGCTCTGCAGTATATACATTAATTTATTTAAAATGTCGAGAAAGATAGATCTTCCGGTTATGCCAAAAAGAAAGTTTCCGTTATTGCCCCGCGAAATAATGACAAACTTATTTAAACATTTCGAAGTCATGTTTAACTTTTCAAATACTTCTGAAGAATTTCTAGTCTCCTCTCTCAAAATACACTAAATTTACCATCTATAACTTTCCGCTTTTATATTTCTCTGCATGTCTATGTACATATGGATCCTATGGGAATGTGGGTATGTTATGCAAATGAAGATATTACGGCTTTATTTTACAGATTGTTGTTAATTTTGCACGCTGACTGGCAGTAAAAATTATTTAATGGCAATACTGGTGAATTGTAAAACATAAAGAAAAATCCAACAAGATGAGGAAAACCCGTAATGGAAAGTGAGAAAATTAAATAATTTTACTTAAAATTAGTTCATTTGATTTAACTCCAAAAAGTCTAAACAAATAAGAAAGCGATAAAATAAAAAATCCCCAAAACGTACTGAGAAGAATTTCAAATTATACCTATACATGTATATACTTGTACTGTTTGGAACTATGAGGCTATGAGGCTATTAAGATGTCTATAAAAATATTTACAGGGATGCACAATTGATGATTAATATTGGATATATGTAGTTTAGTGCTAATACCGGTTAGTCAAATGAGAAAGTTCAGCCTTATCAAATTAGAAAATTATTTCAATGGCATTAATACTCTTTGATATTTTCCTTAGTCTATCATTTGAAAATAATTTTTGATGTTGGGTGGTTGGGAATCGAACCAGGACCAACGTAATTTGTAGTGGTCAATATGGGTGCTTTTCAGTTTAAATTATATAATATATCAGCTTTATACTATTTATTTTATGTATTACCGATGTAGACCAGGTAGTTGTAAAGGGGTATTTTTTCTGAATTTTCTTTGAAAATTTAGCATGGTAATGTGTTTTGCCGGAAATTGAGTTAAACCGTTTCTAACCCTTAAAAATTCAACCCCTCTCCTACTTTTGCTTTAATTTTTGTTTTCTTTGTGTTTTTATCTTTCGTTTGCAATCGGTGTTAACCTATTATCAATTTCTTTCACTTTTTGCCAAAGGCTTCTGCATTGGTTTAATGTGCATATTGATATTAATTATTAATCACGAGAAGAAAAAAAATTAAATGGATAAGGATTTTGATTTTCCATCAACCAAAAATAGAACGCTTGCACTGGGCATGAGCCATATATTCATCGACAGGCTATGACAGAACATTTCACTAGTTTGAGCGTAAATTGCTATATGAATATTGATAAATTTGGAGTTTTTTTTAAATGATTGAATCATTTTATAGTTTACCATATATTAACCAAAATTACTATAATGCAAATTCTGTGTTTTTAACTGTCATAAAAAAAGCTGCCAACTAAGCAGAACAATATAAATTTTAGTTTTAGGAGACATTATTAAATGGTCTTTCATGTTGATATTGAATAAAATTACGATTTACCAACGAAGTAGTGAAAATCAAAAAAAAATCAAAGTCTCCGAGTGAAGATACAAGCACCCTGTATAGTGTTATCCGATAACTTCCATGAAATGAGTGCCATTTTTTTATTTATCTATTGAAAAATGTTAACTTTTCAAAGTTAAGTTATATGAGGACAGCTATAAAACTTTTCAAAATGGATTTGGTCACAGACAGATATTGAATACCATAATATCACAGAAAGAAACTAACGAGATGAGCGTGGCCCACCTAAGGTGTATATACTCGTATAAATAAAATATATGAATCTTAATCTTGAAACGCATTTTATCCATGAATACATTTAAATTGATTTTCAAATATGTTAAATGTTATTGTATTTTTTTAAAGGCACGCTTTGGACAAAGTTGCATAAAAACGGCTTAGAGTTTCCGCTTTCTACTTGTAGATTTACGACGGTACAAAGGTTGTGCCATACATAAAAATCAGCGGATGGAAAATAAATAGGGTTATAAAATGTATGAATAAAACTTAAGTATAATAACTTCAAATAAATCACAAAGAGAGGGATTTTGAAAACCGAACATAAAGGAAGTCGCTTTTACACACGTTCAACCGGTGGTACACAATATACGGTCAATAAACTCACACTTTTCTTTTTCGGAACGAAAATAATAACGCTCGCCACGTTGAATATGAGTATAGCCTGGTGCCTCTTTTGCCCTCGTGCCATTTTGCGTTTGTGATTTTACGATCGGAAACGTACTATGTACTTATGTAGCTATCATAAGAAAATAGCCCAACCGGTTCTGCTGCCACAACACAGGTGCCGCAACCCATGCAGATGTGTTGAGAATGAGCGATTCCATAAAATATGGTCTTATTTTTACCCGGAAGGCAAGACGAATAATAATCGCCCTGGCAGGTGGTACGAATGAGATTCAAGAGGACCAAGAAAAGAAGGCTGGAATGTATGTGGGTGTCGAGATATATAAATAAGACATCCGTCCTTAGATAGGTCAAAGGTTAAATTTTGTTGCAACTTACCGTTGTGCCGTCGTAGCCGTTTGTGAGCAGTTGTATATCGATTTCAATGTCCAAATCCACTTTGGCGGTGGTCAATTGAAGCGGCAAATAATCGGCGCTGCTAGCAGCGCTTGCAGTCTCACTTGTCGCGATGTCGCTGCCGGCACCCATAATGTTGGCGACATTGCTGTGATTGCTGCTGCCCGTCGCTGTTGCTGCTGCGAGCGCCGTAGCTGCTGCCGTAGCGAAGGTGGTAACTGTTGTTGTGGTTGTAGTAGTCGCAGCAATAGCAGCAAGCGCGGCGACAGTTGAACCTGCAGCCGCAGACATTTTCCTCAACGGCATTTAGCGGCGTGGGATTGGTATGTGTGTGGGTTCTATTTACTTACTACAACAAGGTCACACACACACACACTCTCGGCAGGGGAGTGGAACGCTGAAAGGCTAGAGGAAATACTTCACAACGCTGCGCTTCACTTGGACAATAAGTTTGCGGAATGGGTGGGAAATGTGTTGGCATGCGTGCGTGCGTCTATGTAATGGACAACGGTACAGGTTTTACTCCCTTCGGTGTTGCTGCGTGTTATGATTTCACTGGCTGGTAATACAATTAAAGAGCACATTTACAACGAAAAACTAAAGTATCTTTCTACGTGTTCTGAATTATTTTTGCGCTCGCTGAAAAATCACAAAATTTTCACCCGATGCATGCACTCGGGGATTTTTCTGCAAATTGTATTTCTTCGTTCACCCGTTGCACATATGTATCATTTATAATAATTCACCTTTGCTATAATTCACTTTAAGCATTTTGCATTTGCTGCCTCAAAAGGCATTCATTCACATTATCACCGGCTTTCAAGTTCACAATCACAATGGATTTCACCTTAGCACTCATATTTAGTTGTTGCAAGCGTGCGCCAGTGTCAACATTGGTAGGTTTTCATAATTTACTCAGTATATTATGGCTTCGTTCTTCGCTTTTTTTTTATATTCACTTATTTAGCCTTCTGCTTAAACTTTAAAACTTTGGTTCTGAAAGACAAAAATAATAAAAGTTAGTATATAGTTTCAAGCATTTCTTGCCATTAGTAATACTTCTACCTAAGTCTATGGTTGCAGTTTGTTATCTACTCTTATAAGCAACATAATTAGAATTTGACTTACGATTTACCGAATATAACATTAGACTTATTTCTAATGGAGGCAATTAATACGACATTTAACATTCCAACTATATATCCAAACAACCATTTTTGTGCCCCGAATGTGTTGGGTTTGGATGAGGTAATACAAAGAATAGAATTTACATAAAGTCATGTGTCATACAAACTGATTGATCAAAATTATGGAAAACTTTATTTTTTGACAAGATATCACAAATTCACAAATTTTGGCATAGATTTATATTCAAGGCAAACTGACCGATCAAAATCAAAATAAAGATCTTCATAAAAGATCTATTTTCCCATAAAGTATCCTTAATTCCACTTAAAGGTCGGTTTTAAAACTGCCACTCTTCAAGTAAAAGTAGCTGTAGTAAATGTTACGGACTCATGTTTTCTTTAATCTTAAATTAATAATCAGATATTGCTGAAGAAATTCAATTAGTGCTCTTGTGAAAATGAATATATATTTGTTGCAATGTAAAGTATAGATATTATATCGATGGTATAAGCAAAGAAAACTACCGGTGTATTGGTTTCCCGGAATAAATGAAGTCCTCGTAATTCACTCAACGAGCAATTCGAATCATAAATTGGGTTGTTTTTTTCACGTTTCTAAGAAACAAAAACCATACTGTAATATTTCTCGGTGTTACTTAATCCTTAAACATCTCTTCTTTGAGGAAGACAGAGCAGAGATTCTGCAGTTGTTTAAAATATCTCAAAGTCAATTATTACGAAATCATTGCATAAATATTAGTTTGCTACACTCGTGGCAGTGTCTGTAGAACTTAATATTAAAATAATTATTTTATTTATCAGATTAAATGTACACGGCACATATATATGTCTATACATAACGCTGTCAAAATCAGAATTTAATGAAAATAGATTTTTATCGCTTACTGCATCAGACAGAACTCTACTTATATAATTGAGAAAATATTTCGAGCAGTAAATTTGCATTACAATAAACGAATAAATAAAAAATACACATTCGCATGGCTTTGCATTTTCCGCAAAAGTTTCCACTGTTCGCACAATTTCCATTTTCGCTTTCCGCACTTTCACCAAACACTTGCAAAGTTTTATCGCATGCGATAGAAAATCACACACAAATATTTTTTTATTTGTTTTAATGCTCACAAAAATGTTTGAGCAGACTAATTTTAGCCGCAGGCAACCATTAGTTTTTTGGAACTGTGTGGCAAGTGCCTTGCACAAGCGAAGTCTATGTAATATTCAATATAAGTAGGTACAAATTTATAAAAGGATAAAAAAACTGCAGAAAATAATTATACTTTAAATTAATTTATCTACTTCCCCCTAATTATTCGTGGGTTTCGTATATAAATGCAAATAACCTACGTCGAAACGCAATATATAATATAATATAATGTACACTTTATTATGCTGTTATATACTTAATACTTGGCGTGTAGCTGATTACTTTTTCGCAGATCATATCCGGAACCGGAACGGAGCTACTCGCAATGAAAGATATACGAAATTGTTTCGGAACATGTTCGCCAGAGAGCAATAGTTTTGCACATCTAACGGTTGGTTGTTGTATCCAAAAACTGATCGAGATGACCTATGACATAAATATTTATCGAAATAAATTAATGTACCTGAATGATCTATATATCTTCTCTGTTACTCTGAAGAAATTGATACCATAATAAAGCATTGTCTTTTCATCACCAATTAAAACGTAAATTTGGTATATTGGGAAAGGCTTGGTCTTAAGGATTTTATAAAAAGTCGATGGGACCCCGGACTTTAATGGGTGTAGTGACATAACATATAAGTTACCCATAACCTCATAAACTAATAGCCCTTCTGTATTACTTTTAAGATTCTAGTAACTTGTCGCTATTATCTTCTGTATCACTTAATATTAATTAGATCTGGAGTTATATATATAAATAATCAGAATGACAAAATGAATTGAATTCCGGATGACGGTCCGTCTGCCATCCGTCCAGGCATCTGTGGTATGTTAAATTTTGAAAAAGTGAGCGTGGCTCTGCCCGATAATAGGTTTGATGTACAAATCTTCTATACTACTAGAGCAAAATCAACGAAATTTGCTTAGGACAAATTTGTTCGACATCTTTTCCAACAGTGTGGATTCGAATTATATCCACACTGAGACATGAAAATTCAAGTCTAAAATTGTCGAAATCGGGATATAATCTAATATGTGACCCCAATGCCATTAGCTGACTATTTACCGAAAATATCGGTCAATCTGTTACTACTGAAATTCGGTAGAATCTGGTTCTGCTAATTATTTACCTTTGTGTCAAAAATGGATGAAATCGGGTTAATACTTACCCTAACCTAACCCTATAGTCAATATGTAAGATATCTTAAGAAAATTAAGTTAACGTATAATATTGAATAGTTATATTATAGTTTATTGCTTTCCAGGGCCCTTAGCCCTTCTTAACTCGTTATGTACAGAAGATTTATAGGTAACAATAGTGTAGAGTAGAGGCATGTGACCACGCTACAACTAGCTGCTTGTTCGAAACAAAAACATTTATAGAAAACTTACTATTTTCAGACGTGTCGACAAATCAAACCAGCTGGAGTAATTGCCTACAATGCTAGGTAAATTTTATTATTTTGTTTATTATATTACCAAGCGTACACGTTAACTACCGAAGTCGTCATCTTTGTATACCTCACAAGTAGGCAAAGTGACCACGACCACCGCTAGAGCCCACTCATACATATTTACATATGTGTAACACTACCTCTAACAATTGGTCACGACCTACGAAACTTGTCGGCAAAAGCAAAACGGAAGAAAAATATTACCTATTGAAGAGAGCGCGCTAAGGGTGCTATGAGCAAAGCGCTATGGTAGGTGTTGCACCGACGGCAGCGAGGTGGGATGTGAGAACAATTAAACTTGCAACATGCTGCTCGGAATTTAAGTAAAAGAACAAAGCAATTCTTAAACGTCTTATTTCTTGAACTCACAATTGTTTTCATGCACAAAATAATTGTATGTTTTTAATTTATTTTAGAATTAAATTTTAAATGAAAATAAGGAAGCAATAGACGTGGGTGACTTAGAAACATTAGGGGTGTATAATGAAGTTTTTCAAAAAATCGGTTTTTCATAGCATTTAACTAAGATATTAATGAATTGATAGTTTTTGTAATAAAACAAAGAGAATTGAATAGGAAGGTCCAATCCGTTGCGGTGTCGAAAAATTTCGGCTTAAACGTTAACTTTAAACGTATTTTCCTTGAAACTCCCTTTTCCTAATCGGGTGTGACAATTATATTAGTTGAGAGTAGTTCAGTTGATATTTTAACTATAGCTTCACAGCAGCATTGTCTCTTAAACTACATACCACTTTTTTGTTAGTACTGTAACTGTTTCTAAACAGTTTTCAGAAAAATGTATCTAAAAGTAAATATATGTGTAATTTCAGATAGCACGAGTTTCTAGAGTTTTAGCCACCGATTAAGGCCCATTAGCCGTCATTATGTATTAAAATATCAATTTACTTTTTATACCTCCAATGTACTTATGTAACATGTATTGTATATATATATAATTATGTATATATGTTCAGTAAAGCCTGAAACTAAAAAAATTTATTATTTTTTCCTTATCGCAAAATAAATTGTCAAAGGCATTTCTTTTTTGGGTACTCTATACTGGCTTAACTTCTTAAGCCAACTCCAACGGACGATTTTACCAGAAGTCATTATATTTTCTGATTTGTTTTTTTTTTGCCTTTGAGTCTAATTAATGATATTTTTCGATATATATGAAAGGATTGCAAATTGATTCTTATGGTAGATGTGGATCTAAGGCAAAATTTTTACGGCTTTTCAAGGTTTTTCAGGTAAGAGACCTTTAAAACAGGATAATATGAAAAATATACTTAACACATCCTTTTAAAGTCTCTTGACTTTGACTTTGGTATAAAGTATCACTCCAAATATTTTAACGAGTTAATTAATGTTGTATTCACATTATTGATGTCTCATTTATTTCCAGGCATGTCTAAATAGTACCAATTTTGGTGAATTTTTTGTACTTTATAATTAATGTTGTTGCTTAACAAAATTTTAGTTTTATTTATAAACCATTAAAAATGTTTAATTGGATTAAATATATATGAATTCAAACAACATTTTGTATTTTCTACAATATTTCTCTTTACATAGGTATATACAAAGTTTTGAAAATAGACACTTATTGGATATTTATCATATTTCTGTATGGAAAAAATACTGCACTACTGGTTTCAACAAAAGCTTCATTAGGCACAGTTTTAAATAGAGTTACCACCTAACAGAGAAAATGAAACTTTAATTTACTGATGTTTTGAAATCGATTTTAAATTACTACTGTTAAAAGTAGTCATTCAGAAAGAATTCAGAAAGTTTTAAATTTAAGTATATTTTTGAACAAAGTTGGCAACTCGAGAGGAAAATAAAAATAAATGGCATACAAAATTTGTGCCACTCTAAGGCTTTCATGGAAAGCTTCCGAAAAATTCGTTTTTTTTTAAAGGAGTTGTCAACTCAGGAAGAAATTACAAATAAATTTCTTAAACAATTTTTACCAATGTTAGGCGTTGGAGGCTGCCTGCCGAAAAGTGTAAGAAGTTATTAATATAGATTTATTTTTGAATAAACTTCCCAATTAGGATTAGAATTAAGGAATAAAATATAATGTATTTTTCTTACAAAATGTATTCCATTTTTAAAGGTGTCTCAGAACACTTTTTGGAAAATAGCTAATATAGATAAATATATAATATAAAATAAGAATTATAGAATTTTAATCAGCAGTTGCTGAGTTTTATATTAAA